ACTCTACTGGCAGTTCTTAGAGTATATGCAATAGCTTATTAATCCTTCTAAAAAGGATTCTCCCTACATCTTTATTTTTCAGTGCTCCAACATATCCCTTATAACAATGTCCTTATAACTACATCTCTTGACTTATACTTATGCAGAAATATACAAGTACTTCATATTTTGCAATATGGCAGACCACATACCTTGGAAAAACCTATTACAATTTTTTTAAATGCAGAAGAATTCATAAACAGCTTTTAAAAGTAACTTTTAAAAGTGCCTTTTTAAAAAAGAACTTTAAAAGTATGACTCAAGAAAACTCCCTAGAACTAACATGATAGCCAGAAACCAAGGAAGTAGGATGGCAGAGACCTTTGGGTTAACAAGAGGCTTTAGTTTTAACAAAGGAGAAGGAATGAGGAATTAGATCTTGAGCCTGTGCTACTTGGTTGGTTAGAACTGTAGCCCTCAAAGATCGATGAGAAGCTATATACTCATTTAAAGAGTAGACTAGAAAAAAGTGCCCTCAGTGAGGAAAGACAAAGCAAAATTGCCTGTCCTGGCTTGGGATTTGGGGCGGGTTGGGCAGGAGGGTGAGCTGGGGGTGGGAGTAGTCTTCTCTGAGAAGTGGTAATGATCATCTATACTTTATACGTGTGTTAGAAATTTGTTTTAACACCACCATAGGATCTACAAAACTTCAACCCATGAACTGACAAAAGTTGCTGCAGGCTGGAAAAGCCCTTGGGATCTCCGGCAGAGGGAACACAAATTCATGTTTCAGAAACATACCTTCGTCCCATGCCCAGAGGATTCCTGCTGATCGAGTCCTGCCAAACATGGGCTTACAATCCAAATTGCAAAGGAGGACACCAATCATCATGAGCAAAAGTGAACAGAATTGAAGAGCTGGAGAATTAAACTACCAAGAATTACTATTAGCTACAATGTATAAAATGTTTAAATACTGAAAGACAAAACAGAAAAGCAAAATAGAAAAAGACCAGTCACATTTGAAATGGACCAAACAGAACTCCTAGAAATTGAGAATTATTACAATTGTAAAACTCCTTAAGCAAAAGATTAGAACTAAAGAATGAAATAGAAAACTGAAATTACCCGTGAGGCAGTCCACGAGAACAAGTAGAAAATATTAAAGTTGAGACATGAGGACAGGATAAGGTTTATCATGTATAGATACATATGGATAAAGAAGAAAAAAAGCTGTCAGTTGGGAAATGCGACAAGGTCAATATTCAATAAGATAATAGCTTAGGATTTTTTAGAATTGATTTTTAAAGACCATAAAATTCATAAAGGACAAAAAATCCAAAGCAAGGGAAGAAAGATTCATATATTGAAATACCAGAGACACTGCCCAAAACCTGAAAAATTCTTACATGCAACCAGACAGAAAAGGCAGATTACTTTCAAGGGATACAATTAGACTGGTTAGTAGACTTCTCAAAGGTATATTAAAGTCAGGAGACAATGGCATAATATATTTTCAAGGTACTGGGGAAAAAATAACTGTACACTTAGAATTTCATACTCTGACCAACCCTACCAAAAGTAAAAGAAATAAGAAATAAAAGTAAAAGAAAATAAATGAAAAGTAAAAGAAATGATAAAAGCTGCCCTACTGAAGTCATCTTGCCTCTGTGGAACCCAAGAATGGAGCATACACAGAGAAGAGAAAAGAACTGGGGTCCTGGCAACACTTTTGAGCCCCTATATGCAGACAACCTAATGTCACCCTTAATTTTGGGGCATCTTAGTCTCTTGAAGTAGTACATCATCATTAATTTGGATATTTTAACCAAAATGTAATGTAAGTTAAAATATCAACGTTATCTTAAGCCTGCATACCCACCAGGGGGCTGTCACAGTGTCTCATTTATTCAGGAAATGATGTATCTGAAAGGGACCTTTCTAAGTAGGGTTTGAAAAGAGGTAAGAAAACAGGACAATCAGTTGAGAGTCTATAAAACACAATTTAAAATAACAAACGAGAATGAGTTCAAAGGACTCCCAGGCAAACAACAGTCTGGTAGCTCTAAGCAAAAATCTTCACTACTTTCTTTATAGAATTTAATTCAGACCAGTTTTCTGCAATTTGACCTGACGTTAAAACGATGCCAATACTTCCCACCAATTCAAGAACTTCAACTACTAGTAGTACATCTCAATTAGTTGTGTTTTTGTTTTTAGGATTAAAATTTAGAACAGGGTAGGAGAGGTGGTAGAAAGTAGTGCCTGAATTTCCTGAGGCTACTGGGTCACTATCCTCAACATTCTAAGGAAATGAGAATAAGCAAAATAAGTGTCCCCAATTGAAAACTGTATTGTTTAGATACAGTTCCTGATTAGCGGAAACCAGCTTTTCATTGCCCTTGAGGTCTTTCACAACTCTCAAAAATTATAGATAACTGATAGTAAATGGAAAATCATTCTTGCCTATAAACGTGCCAATAGATTCTGCCCAGTTAAGGTTCAACTGGCACCCCTCGTCCCGTGGGGAAAAAAAGTTTTCTCTATTTGTGAATTAATTTCAACATTCTTTTATTCCATATAAATTTGTTCTCCTATCAATTGTAACATCTGTCTGGTTCCCTCATTAATGAGGGCAATAAACTCCTTAACATTCTCCTTATAACTGCATGAAACTAATAATGATGTTACACTTATGAAAATTATCCCTTAACACCATCAAAAACAAGGCAGTATTTCTTAGACACCAAATTTCTGAAGTTTTCTTAAATTAGTTGTAAAGATTTTGCTTTAAACCAGTTTTCAATGTATCTGGAAAGTTTCAGATTTTATTAAAACATAATTTGTTTTATTTAGAAGGCATAATGAGACTGAATCTTACAAATTATATTCTGATTAACAACTTAAGAAAATTAGAGTCTAAAAGCAATTCCGACAAATCTGCAACTAACAAAAAACCACCGAACTGCTATATATGTTTATGTTTTATTAGTCACCTGTTAAATGACATTCTCAGCCTGTTAATTGGTGCAAATTAATCTTTTGCCTTTCAGACATACTACCAAAAGAATCACTTTATAAACAATCTTAGAAATTCTCTGAATACTCAAAAAACCCAAATGTTTGCTTTTCACAATGAGTTTTAAGTGCTATTTTCCCAAAAGGTAACATAGGCAAAGAGCCATAATTTATTTGTACTATGGTATGCCTAGACTTTCTAACTGCCCAAATTATATAGTCTTCCCTAAGAACTTTCAAACTTGTAAAGTTTTACTCAAATTCTTAAAAGTTATAAATCCTTTCTTCTTTTATTCCTCATCACCCTTGCACCTGGCCACATTGTCTCTTCCACAATCTAGGAGCCGGGGAAAGAGGAAGAGGTCACAAAAAACACAGGAGCCGTGAGAAAGTTTTGTGGTCACTAATGTTCCTGAGCCATAATTTTCACTACATCAAAATACCACTTAGACGTTATATTAAAAATAAGAAAAATGGTTCATTTTACCTGTGGAATTCTTACATAGGTCTAAATGTAAAAGAAATTCATGTTGTAGAGAGATGAAATTAGGAGCAATTTCCTGAACCTGAAAATCCAAATACATATAGATAACTAAATAGAAATCAGGCTATCTTTCCCAGTTGAGTATTTTATAACTTCCTGGCCACCCAGACGGCTAGGAAGGCTTAGATGACTCCTTCCATTGGTCTACAATCTTTGAAACAAAATATTATCTGAGATATTATAATTATTCTTACAGTAATACCACTTTAAATACTTAGCACTTTATACTATGTAGTTAACATATATACAATTTCCAATCCTAAAAGCAACCTTACAAGTTAGCATTTATATTTTTAAAAGGAAAATAAGCTCAAAGAAGTTGAGAAAGTTGAACATATTATACTACTAATAATTAGAAAAACAGGATTGGGCCTCAGTCTGTCCAACTCTACAGCCTCTTTTTTTTTTTTTTTTTGCGGTACCCGGGCCCCTCCCTTTTTTTGCCTTTTCCCTTTGCAGAGCACGGGCCCCGGAGGTGCAGGCTCAGCGGCCAAGGCTCACGGGCCCAGCCGCTCTGCAAAATGTGGGATCTTCCCGGACCGGGGCACGAACCCGTGTCCCTGGCATCAGCAGGCAGACTCTCAACCACTGTGCCACCAGGGAAGCCCCTACAGCCTATTTCTATTATACTATACTAAGTCTGGGCCATAAATTTTCACTAAGTCTCAAATTTAAACTGCAAACTTCAGTTTAGTATCTATTATGTCATTTACAGGATTTTACTCAGTAATTTAAAAAAAAAAACAAATATGTTCCAAAGATTACAACAGATCTTTTGCTATCCTGTGCTTATTTTGGTGAAAGAGAAGTAAACACAGAATTCTGTCATCCTAAGATTACTCACTTTAAGGGGTGTGAAAATCTTGCCTGGCTGTTTGTACTAAAAAAATAAACCACTTCTAAAAAATTAAAATAAAAAGTGGGTGAAATAAGCCAGGTTTGTTTGGGTTTTTTTGCTTTAAGTCACATAGTTCCTAGACTCTTAAAGATTCTTAGGCTTTTTTTTTGTTTTTTTTGTCATGCCGCAGCATGTGGGATCCTACTTCCCCGACCTGGGATCGAACCTGCACCCCCTGCACTGGAAGCACGGAGTCCCAACCACTGGACTGTCAGGAAGTCTCTCTTTGGCATTTTTAGGTAAAGGAATGAAATTAAATATGCAGCTAAGGTCCATCCATTCATATCTATACTCTTAATGACATTACTGCATTCTTCTCCAAATAGCTCATATTACATTATGATAAATGGCTACCTAGCAAAAGAAATTCCAGAACAGCCTCACAATCTATAATAATATAAACTTCCTAAAACAAATTAGCATAACGTTTTATGTCATCTTGCCCATTTTAATTAACTTGACATTTAAATACTGAATATAATTCCATCAAAATCCAGCAAATGAATATGTGCTATAGCGTTTGCCCCTTTTATCCATTCTCAGAAGTATTTCAATACTTACCCCATGTTCCTTAGCAGCTGTGACAACTTTAAGGAGGACATCTTCCTCCACAAATGGTCTCACAGCATCATGGATAATCACTACTTCTGGCTTTGAGAGTCTACAGTTGGGCTGATCCTCTGCCAGTGCTTTTAGTCCATTGAAAATTGACCTGTGGCGGGTCACTCCAGATTCAACCAGAGAGATGCCTTTATGCTGGTACCTCTGAATAATACACTTCATTGCTTCCATGTTCTCTCCAGTTACTGCCACAACAATGTCCTTTATCCAAGATACTCTATAAGGAAAGTATGCACACATTTCATATCAATTGATTCTTAAACAACTAAAGTTAATCTAGTAACAAAACTGAGTTACTAATTACTACTAGTACATCTTCATAGGGACATTAAAAATGGAAAGCTACGAACTAAGTCAATGTTATGCATTTTTAATCATGTCTAGTAAAGGGGTTGATTAAGAATTTGAATTTCTCATACTATAGAAACATGAATATAAATAGAAGTAGTATTTTTCAATACATAGTGTAAAAGTACCTATATTGCAAAGCATAGATTAGGTATAGATATGTATCACAGATTTCTTAAGTTAAATTTAAATAATTAGTATATTCATCAGTAGACTGAGAGAAAAAATTTAAGATTATGCTTTTAAATTGCTTTTTTTTTCCCCAAATAATTCTCTCCATTAAATAGGAACAACCCAAAGCACTTCTGAATTCCACAAGTTCTGTCTCTTTCAAGAAATCCATTGATTTGGCAACAAAGCTGGATAGCTGAGCTAAACTTTGCCTACATCAACGTGAAATGTTTTAGCTTAAATAGGGAAATTATGCTAATTAAGTTTGTATAAGTATAAATCAGGCTCAAATAAAAGAGAAAACTCATATTTTAATGAAATATAAAATAAAAGGAATTCATCTGTTGAGTCAGATACAAAACAAAGCAATTCTTCTCTGTTCTGAAACACTTTTAGACCTACTGACATACAGATGCTAACAGTCCACAGCGCTGAGTGGCAGTGGCTGCAGTAAAGTTGAGCAGTATTCTCTTGAAGACCAGTGTTAACAGAGGTTAACATGATTATACACTCAAAGTTCCTCAGCTGACGGGCCCAAGCCAGGAAAACAGCCTCTGGCCCATGATATCAACTCTGATTAAAGGCCACTTTAAAATTTAATGGCATTCTTAGCCTCTGAGATCCTACATGTTCATGCTAGACAGTTAAGTCTTGTACTCACTTTTAAAGAGATGAAAGTAGGGTCTGAAAATTACTGAATAATGAAATTAACTATCGATAAATGAAAAACACTGGGTTGCTTCACTCAATAATTAACCATCTCCTACCTTCTGCTATTGAACAAACCCTTCCTATAATCCAAAACCCCATTCTGCCTGTGGCTACGACAGCACTACAACGATGCACACAACCAAAACTTGAGGGACACTATCCTTTCATTTTAAGTCCATTCCTCTAACAAATATTTATTGAGCACTGAATAAATGATCAGAATTGAGTATACAATGGAAATAGTTACTGCTTTCACAGAGCTTACTGATAAAAAAGAGAGCACCGACAACTCCAAGCCGCAACACAGTGCTGTGAAGGAGAGGTCCAGGCCCCAGGATCGCATGCGGCACAATATGTGACCAGCACAGAGAAGGCCAAGATAATGCTCCCTAAGGAAGCAGAGTTTTCTCTTCAAGTGGCAGGAGGCAGGAAAATAGGCAAAAGGATTTGGAGGGAGAGAGAGAGGGATGGTTTAAGCAGAGGCTGTAGCAAGGTTCTGAGAAACTAGGAGGAAATGGAGGGGAGTTCTTTAAGCACAGAGAAGAGCCCATGAAGAGGCTGGAGGAACAGACAAGTGATGGGCTGGGCTAGGCCATGGAGACCTCCAAGGCCATATTAGGGGTTCTAGTCTTTAATCTTAAAAAATAGGAATCTAGAGAAAAGCTTTATGCAGGACATTTACACTCAAATTAATACTCACCTCCCCCAGTATTCTATGCTGTTCAATGACATAAGGGGAACTGTGGTAGGCAGAATAATAACCCCCAAATGATGTCCATCACCTAATTCCCAAAACCTGTGAATATGTAACCCTACCTATTAAAAGAATTTTCTATATGTAATTAAGTTAAGGATCTTGAGTTGGAGATCATCCTGGGCTATCTGGGTCGGTCCAATATAATCACAAAAGTCCTTAAGAGTGAAAGAAAAGCAAGTGAGTCGAGGGAGAAGATGTGGTAACAAATGCAGCACTCATTACGACACAGGACCATAAGTCCCAGAATGCAGGTGACCTCCAGAACCTGAGTAAATGGACTGCCATCTGGCAAGTAAATGGATTGTCCCAAGAGCCTCCAAAAGGAACACAGCACTGCTAACACCTTTATTTTAGCCTAGTGAAAATGATTTTTTGACTTCTGACATCGAAAAGTTTAAGAATGTATTTATGTTGCTTTAAGCTACTTAGTTCCATGGAAACGTTTACAGGAGTGATTGCAGCTTCTAATTTTAGAGCATAAACTTTACTCTGGTGCAAGATGGAGAATAGATTGGGTAGAGAAAGCATGCAGACAGACCAGGTAGGAAGCTGCTGAAGTCCGAGCAAGACAATGATGGTAGCCTGTCTATCAGATGGTGCATGTGGATAAGATTTAAGAGATGGTAATCTTCCTGAGTCAGTAAGAAAAACTGGCAAAATAAATAATTTATCACTTAATATGAAATAGCTAATATCGATTAACTTACTAAGTCTTAAGCATTAGTCATGTTCTAACTCATGTAATCCTCACACTCTATACTACCTCATATGGGAAACATCAGAAGGGTCTGATACACAAATGCATCGTACTTTATCTTCCTATACTGCCATCTGATGCCAAAAACTACTTGAAAAAAGTATTTTTACCGTTTTTCATCAAAATACAACATTCCATCTTCTAGAATGTAGGCTCCATGATGGCAAGGACAGTATCAGTTTTGCCCATTGCTTTACACCTAGTAGGTACTCGATAATTATTTGTTTTATCAATAAATGATTTTGGTCTGTCTCATCTACCAGGATCTTACAACATAGCATAGTTTGAAGGATTATGCAAACAGAAAGCTCTCCTCATCAACCTGAAGAGAGAATGAAAATCAATGAAAATGCCTTCCCTCTGCAATATATTGTTTGCTGATTGTTTTGTTTCAGCAGACTCTTTACTCTGATTTCTAAATTCTAAAGCTCCAAGGATGACTGGGATTACTTATGTTTTGTCAGACACCTTGGGGGAATTTTAATCATAAGCAAAGCAAAGCAACACCACTCAGAGAATACCAGACCAGAAAATATGTAGTTATGTGAATAGGCAATAAGGAGGATTCTGGGATATGACTAAGTGTAGGTTGCTCTTTGCTTTGTAATCCATCCATCCCCCACTTCTATCACTGCAAATTTAACACTGCTAGAACTTACTCTATTTACATGGTTTAAAACTTATACTGTGCTTAACCAAGTCCTTAGCAAGTGACAGTTTCTCAGTGCCCCCTAGATGTAAGGTTCTTTCCCAAGGTTCTGTCTCCACTGGCACAGCTGTGACCCAGGCAGCCATCTCTCCCATTATTTCTGCAATAGCCTCTCAGCTCGTCTCCACCTTCTCACTTAACACAATCCACCCTACCACTTCTAGATGACTTCCCTCAAGTGTAAACCTTAGGCCATCCCCTGCTGGCTCTTGAGCAGGACCTGATCTCGGCCTTCTTCTCCCTGCACCACTTGGTCTCTGCCATGACCCTCTTTCTGTGACCACCACATTGTCTCACATCCAGGTCTCCGCTTACGCTGCTTCCTCTGCCTCTCAACATTAACCCCCATCCTCATAATTCCTCCACCCCCACCCACTCCTGGCTGAGTCCTACTGTTCTTCAGCTGTCAGTTCAGATGTGGCCTCCTCCAGCAAGCTTTCCTTGACATTCTGGGTGAGGCATCTCTGCTCTCAGCTCCCAGAGCACTCTTATCGCTAGAGAGTCTTATCAAGCATTGTACTGTTTCATTTTTACCTCCCTCACCAGGCTGCCAACCCACAAAAAGCAAAGACTATATCCCAGGGCTTGGCATATACTAAGCTTTCAGTAATATTAATAGTAGCAATAGTAACTAAGATGTATTAATTGTTGGCTAAGTGCCATGTACTGTTTGGAGCATGTGTCTGTAATATTTCACTTAATAGTCATATCGGCCCCAAAAGAAATCACTATTATCTCCATTTCACAGATGGCACAGAGGCAGTGACCTGCCCATGATTATACAGCTAGGAAACGAAAGGACCTGGGTATACCCCACTCTGACTTTGGAGCTCACACTATAAACCTCTGTAAAAGCACTAACACTGAGAGGTCATAAAATCCATGAGAGAAAAAAAAAATCACGTCTGGATCGTCATGTCCCCAGCAATCCATTTATTTTGAACAATAATGCTGCATTTGTGGTCAAAACATGGTCAAGTTTATTTCTTACAATTTAAGCATAAGTATTCCTTCATTCATGGGTTCATTTAGTCATTCAGAAAACATCCAGTAAGCATCTGTCATTTGGCAGACATTATACTAGTCACTGGTAATCCAATAACAAACACCAGCAGAATTCTTGACCTCACTGACTATGTATCAAGAAGTATCTGTTGGACTTCCCTGGTGGCACAGTGGTTAAGAATCCGCCTGCCAATGCAGGGGACACGGGTTCGAGCCCTGGTCCGGGAAGATCCCACATGCCACGGAGCAACTAAGCCCGTGTGCCACAACTACTAAGCCTGAGCTCTAGAGCTTGTGAGCCACAACTACTGAGTCCACGTGCCACAACTACTGAAGCCCGTGCACCTAGAGCTCATGATCCACAACGAGAAGCCACTGCAATGAGAAGGCCGCACACGGCAATGAAGAGTGGCCCCTGCTCACCGCAACTAGAGAAAGCCCGCGCAGAACAACGAAGACCCAACGTAGCCAAAAAATAAATAAATAAAAATTTTAAAAAAAGAAGTATCTGTTAAATGAATCAATGAATAGATAAGAGGAAGCTTAAACAATTAGAAATAAAATGTGCTCTTGAGTTTATAGAAAAGTGTAAAAGTAATCAAATCTATTTAGTTTATTAATAGGACATCACACTTTATTAATAAGACATCACACTGTTTGCTTTTTTTTAAATAGATAAGTTTCAAGTACATGTTCAACTATATCAGTGGACAGGATTTTTTTCTAAGGCAAGAGCTTTACCTGTGCCCTAACCTATCA